CAAGGATTGAAAAAAACATAAGGGGAGAGGAGAGGATGGACCCAGGTCTGGTCTGAGTTGCTCTGGAGCACATTAAAACCAACAGTGCCATGGGAAGGCAGAAGCAGCTTGGATTTATCCTGAGGACCCGCCACTTGAAAATACTTGTTGTACCTGAACTTATTTGCTGTTGCCACCTTGAAAATTGCAGCCTGGTCATGGGTAAATGTTTTGTTAAGACTCACATGCCAAGGAGGGCTTGTTTCTCCTATCGTAAATCTTTGGCTGGGTTATTGTGTGCCTGGGATACCACGGTAAAGGAAACAGCGCTGCCTCTCCGACTAAGAGGCAATTAAGATTCCTTTAAAGATTCCTTTAAAGTGACTCGCAGGGCTCTTAAAATAGGATAAATGTGGGTATCAGTGCACAGGCCAGGCTGGCTCCACACCCTCTGTGGGTTGTGCCCAGTGTCCTGTGGAGCTGATTTTCCAGTACTGTGCCCTCCCAACCCTCTTCATCCCCCAGCCACAGCAGTGCAGCTCTGGTTCTTGACATTGCTCTGCTCTGTGGTTTTTGGCATCTCAGCATCCCTGGTACCCCCTTGGCATCATTCTTTCCCTGCCATGCAACATCCCAGGATCCCCGATCGCCCTTGGCACCCCTCTTTCCTTGCCATGCAACATCTCTTGGAGAGGGCTCAGATCTGATCCCTGCTGCCTTTTGGCCTTGCAGTGGTGGTTGTTGCAATCCCACGAAGATTTTTCTCCCCAGCTTGGAAAAAACCTCCCCGAGCGCCGGGAGCTCGCAGCGGCTGGGGCGAGGAAGGTTTGGGATGCCAGGCTGGGGATTTGGGTGTCTTTGATGCCGTGCCAAGCGCAGGCAGTGCCTTTCCCTGGATGCTCTCCCTGCAGGATGGCCCCCGGCCGCCTCCCAGGTTGCGCTCAGGCTGCGGCAGGCGCGGGCTGTGCCGGGGCAGGGCAGGCGTGGGGCGATCCCGGCCCTACCGCACATGGAACACCTGGGCTTGGAACATCCCGGGGCTTAAACTGCTTCTGTGGGGTCACTGCTGCCCTCCAGGGAGCACAGGGGCTGCCCTGCTGGTTCTTGAAAGCTCTGAGTGCCTGGAGTGCTCGGGAGGGATGGTGTGGCTGGGCTGAAGGGGTCTGTCTGTCTGTCTCCCTTTGGTTCCCACTGCTGAGAGTGAATCCTTAGGGACTGCATCCCTTCCTCGGGTGCTATCCAACTCTCCTCCAGTTAAAAATAAAGACCTTTTTTTGGGATAAACTGTTGGGGATGCCTATTTTTCTCACCCAGGCAAGCTGGACTGGCAGTGGGTGGCTCCGTGTCCCGTGGGCATGTGGGATGGGACGGTGGGAGCACAGGAGAGGTGTCCTTGCCTCGTGTCGTGCTTTTCCCAATCCACAGGTTACCATGGGAACATAAAAGTACCAAGCCTGCTGGTCCATGATGCTTTGCCAGGGTGGCCTGGGATCACTAGCCATCCATGCTGGGATGGTGTGGGGGAATTTATAACCACTCTCCACCTCCATGTTTCTTCCATGCCTTTAAATTCCTTTTTTCGCTTTTTTTTTTTGGTTGGGAGCAACTTGGTAGGTGCTTGCTTCCACTTTGTGGATTGACATGACTTAAATCTGGAAATGCTGGAGCCATTGAGGCCATGGGGGGAGATGGAAATGGTTGGATGGAGATACAGGGATGAACCTCTCTGAGTTTCCACCTGGCAGGAGGGTCGGGGTCTGTGTAGGTGTTGCTGGCATCTCCCAGGGGACATGGTGAAACTGGGAGGCAAAATGCTGCTCCAGGTCAGAGGCAGGCAGGGAAACTCCACGAGGCTTGGCCATGAGCTGCCTCTGCAGCATCCTGGGATGGGGCTTTCCCAGAACATGGGGTGGGGAAGGGAGTGGGAGATGGGGAATGGGCCATGGGGCTTTTTTGGATCCTTTGTGCAGCGATAATTGCAGCCTGCGGTGCTGTGGGGGTGCATCCTCCAACATCAAAGAAGGGTTTTCCAGTCACTTCTCCCAGGTGTGGGGAGCTGAATCCAGCTGGGACTTTCCTCCCAGCTTCAGGGCTTGGTGGGGTAGGCAATGCCCTGGAACAACCCTGGGGGAGCGAGGGTTGATCCCAGCGAGTGCTGAGTCTCCCCTGCTGGGCAGGGATGCTGGAGTGTGGAATCCAGGCAGGATGTTTGGTGAGGGGTCTGTGCTGGGGGGTCTGAGGGAGGCTGTGATGGGACAGGATGGTGTGGGCGCACTGAGGATGCTGTGATGGGACAGGGATTCTCAGCAAGGCTCAGAGGATGCTGTGGGGGCTTGGAGGATCCTGTAATGGGATGAGGATGCCAGTGGGAGGGGACTCTGAGGACATTGTGGGGGACCAGGGATGCTGCAGGAACAGAGATAGTGCAGGACTGGGGATGCTGTGGGAGGGCTCTGAGGATGCTGTGAGACTAGGTTGCCATGGGGTGCTCTGAGGATACTGTGATGGGACAGGGACACTCAGGGGATACTGGGGATACTGTGATGGAACAGGGATGCTGCAGGGGGCTTTGAGGGTGCTGTGATGGGACAGGGATACTCAGAGGTGCTCTGAGGGTGCTGTGATGGGACAGGGATGCTGCAGGGGACTCTGAGGGTGCTGTGATGGGACAGGGATGCTGCAGGGGGCTCTGAGGGTGCTGTGATGGGACAGGGATGCTGCAGGCTCTGAGGATGCTGCAAGACTGGGGATGCTGTGGGGACCAGCAGGACCCTTTGGCACTGCTCACTCCAGCAACCCTACAAGGAGGACACAGGACCTGTTTCAGGGTGTTCAGACCTTGCTGCTTTCAGCAGCTGCTCTGGTTTGGGCTGTGGGTCTGGGAGGGCTGTGGGGAGCTTGATCTCATTCCAGAGGCACCAGGGGTGCGGGGGCAGCCGGGTGTGCTCTGTTTTGCTCCGCATTCCCTGATCGCTTCACTAAACAAGGTTCCTTCTCCTCAGGGATTAAATGCCATGTTTGCCTTAGATAAATTTTGCATCAGGCCCAGCTTGTGCATACAAGCCTGGGAAAAGATCATAAAGCTTTCAAAAAACCTTATTTAAAAAAAGCTGGTATGTAAAGTCAAACATTGCGGGCAGAGCAGATTTTCCCAGTGCTTTCACTGGTGGAAGGGGTGAAGTGTGCTTGGTTGGGTGTTTTGGCACCCAAGGATGAAGCTGGGGGGTGAATTTGGTGCTAAAATCAGGTCCTGATGCCCAGCAATTTCCCAGCCCTGTGCAAACAGGGGTACTCAGCCCCCCACCCCAGGAGCAAACCCAGCCTCCAGCTGAGGCAGTGGATTTCCCCTTAGGGCATTTGTGGCCAGTTTTACTAAGAACAAAACTCCCCAGGAAGCAGAAGCTGCTTTTACCTTCCCCTAATTTTATTTTTTCCCAGAAATTGTAATATGTAAAGGGGTGACACCCCCCTGTGCCTTCTCCCTGTATTGCTCCCACCCGTGAAGACCCAGCTGTAGGTTTCATCTTCCCAAGCACGAGGGGCTTGTTGAGCTGGAAATTCGGATGCAGGATGAGAGCCAGTTGGGATGGGGGGGTTGCTTCCCCTTTCTGGAACCCCCAGGTAATGATGGGGCACAACTATCCATGTTTTATGAAGACGTGCTTCAGAGGGAAGTGCTTTCCTAGGGGACCTCCTCACCTCCCCATCCCTCTGCTGTCAAATGGACACAATTTTCCTTTTCTAATGTCCTGTCCCGTTGCTTTTAGTGTAGTTTAATTGTCCTTAATTGACTTTTAATTGCCCTTCCTGCCCTTTTTAATTAATTGCTCTCCTGCCCTTTTCACTTCAGAAGGCCATGACAGGGAAGGGAAGAGCCTGGCTCTTGTGGGACCATCCTTGGTCCCATTTCTTCTCATTCTTGATAAATTTTTGCCCCCAAACCCGGTGTTCTTGGCTGGCTGAGGCCGTGGCCCTGCCGGGTGTTTGGCAGGTGTCATGTTTCTTAGTGGCACTTCCCTGGGCAGGAAGGGGATGAGGTGGGTGCCCTCCCTTGGCAGTGACTAATCCTGGAGGATCTGATGGGCAGGCTCTGATTGAGAGGCTGTTTGCATCGCCCAGCCCCGGTGCACCTTTCCCTTGGCTGGCATTCGCACACCGAGACGTGGCTGGTCAGAGGCAGGAGCAGCTCAGGTACGGGGGCACAGCCAAGCCCAGCTCTGAGCCTGGCTTAGAGCAGGATTCACCCTGGGAGCAAAGCTCCCCTGTACCCCAAAGCTTCTCCCTCACGGTAAGTTCATTTTCCGTCCTTGCCGTGTCCTGGTGGGATGGGATGGGCCCATCCAGGGATGGCTCCAACCACGGCTCTTTGCTCCTTGTTCCAGGAGCGAGAGGTTTCAGAGGAGCACAAAAGTGTCCCTGCTTCCCTGGGCAGTGTTTGTGTGGGCACTAAGCTCCAGCACCTCCTGTCCCCAGGCCGGGATGGGTGAATCCAAGGCGTTGGAGGTTCCCCAAGTATGTGATGCTCTTTGGTTTGATCCTGCTCGGCTGTTCCTGTCCTTTCTGACTGGCTTCGTGGTGGCACATTGGACTTTGGATCTGCTGGTGCCAGGTGGATGCTTAAGCTGAGTTTTAAGTCTCCCCCATGGGATTTTGTGGTTGAAACTCCACTGGGGACTTGCTTTTCCTCTCTAATTATTTTTTTTTCCTTTGGCCTCTAACCTGTAGGGCTGAAGCTCCTTGGGAAGTGCTGCTTGCTTGGCTTTGATAAGCTCTCTAAACCAACCTTTTTGCAGTAAACAAATGTGAATTTAAATAAATAAATCCTTTGGGAATCCTTGCACCTGCTTGTCTGCAGATGCAGATGGGCAAGCAGGGGGTGATGCCTCTTGGATGGGGTTTCAGGGTCAGCTCTGATGGGTTTTCCCTGTTTTCCTGCTGCAGGTGACCAGCCACAATGAGAGCTGCGGCCCCTGCCTGATCCCTTTCCTGCTGATAAAAATGATCAACAAGTCTCGTGAGTCCCCCAGGGATCCCCTCTGACTCTGTCCAAGCAGGGCTGGGGAGCCTGGGGAATTTGCATTTGAAATTCTGGGGGTTGGATGCTGCTTTGCTGTGGTTCCAGTTGAGTGATGGAGTGTTGGGGTATCACAGGTCGCAGTGGGGAGGGTGGGTTTGGGCACCTTGATCTCTGGGCTTGGGCATCTGGAACCCTTTGGACTTTGTTGTACAGAAATGGGGTGGAGGCGCACATGGAAAAAGAGACATTTGCCTAATCTTTGATGAAAAGCAGGCAGGAGGAAGCAGAAACGTCACAGTGGTTTTTTAAACCTGAGATAAAACCACCTGACTCATCTTAGAGCCGCTCCTCTCTGGGCCGTGGTGCCAGCCAAACCTGCTCCCTGAGGAGAGGGCTCTGCCATCCTGGCTCTAGCTGGGGATGCTGTGGGACCCCACAAGCAACCTTCTAAACCCCATGGCTGACATTGGTTTATCTCTCCCCCTCCCCTCTGGGCTTGCAGGAGGGAAGATACTCGGGGTGCTGGCGCTGTTTCTGGTGATGGTTTGGTACTCGATCTACCGGGAAGACAGGTACACACAGCTGTGAGTGCTCCTTACTCAAGTTTAAAAGATCTCCTGCCCTTTCCTTCACTCCTGGGAGGCAGCAGCTTCCTGCCCATCCCTCACAGGGAAGCCAGAGCGTGGCACATTCCCTGATCTGAGGGGGCTGGGGAGGTGGCAGCATCCTTGGCTGCTGCTGGAGAATGGGGGACACAAACAAGGCTCCCCCTCGGTGGGTGGTGGTGGTTGGGCTTTGGGGGTTTTTTGTAGATGCTGCTTTTCCCGGTGCTTTTCTGAGCCCAGGAGGATGGGAAAGCCCTGCTCTCTTCCCAGTGCCAGCGATGCTGAGAGAGATGGGGAAAGTGGAGTGTGAGGTTCATGAGCAGAGCAAGAGAGACCTCTTCTGATGCAAGGCTGCAAGCCCAGCCGATAAATTGCCCAGGCAGTGCCGGCCTTAAATCCGTCTGGAAATCTCTCACAGCTGGAATCGCACAGCGGGGATGCCTGGGGGTGCTGGAGCCCCTTTCGCCAGGAGGGGGCTGCAGAGGAACAGGCATCATTTGATTTAATTAACCTCTTCCTTTACAGCTTTTATTTCCCTGTACAAGAAAACAACAAGACAACGTGTCCCCTTGGGGAGGTGGAAAAGAAAGCGGCGCAGCTCATCGGGAAGTGAGTTTGGGGCTGGGAGCAGGCAGTGGGGGGGATGCAGAGCCAGGACCCCCCTCCCTGTGCCATCCCTGATCCCAGTGTCACTGACCCTTTGCTCCTTGGCAGCTACACGAGGGACCACCCACTGTTCTTGCAGCTGAAGGACTATTTCTGGGTGAAGACGCCGTCGCTCTACGAGCTGCCCTACGGCACCAAGGGAAGTGGTAAGCCTGACAGTGCTCTGTGGGATCTGTCTATCTGTCTGTCCTGCTGCTGCTTGCTGCTCCTGGGGTTTCAACTTCCTTCTTCCTAAAGACATCTGCAGGTTGATTTTGCTGGGGACTATTTCCGAGCTATTTTCTTGGTTTTTAAATTCCGCAGTGAGTATCTCCTCACACATGGTGCCCCTAAAAGAGTTTAGAGCGGGCCAGGTTTTACTAAACCCCAGAGACAGATTTCTCTTTGCAATTGGGATTAACAGTAGGATTAAATTTGGCAGAGATGGGGCAGCACTCAGAGTGTTGTGCAAGGCAGGAGCTGCCTTCCTCACCTTCCTCACCCTGTCCTTGCCCTTGCTTTGCAGAAGACGTCCTGCTGCGCCTGCTGTCCATCACCCAATACTCCCTGCCCGAGAGCATCCAGAGGTAACACTGGGGTGGGTTTAGGGGCTTTTCTCTCTTTTTCTTCATCATTTCTCTCTTGAGGGTGCTTGCAATTTGTCTGCTGTGGGCTCAGGATTTGGCAAAATGAACCTCTGCAACCCAGGGGTGGTTGGTGGAGCATGGGAAGGTGTGGAGACTGGACAACACCAGGTTAAAATCAGCCCAGTTTTGGAGCAGGCCTGGTTGAGCCAGGGTTTTGTCTCGCAGCCTCAAGTGCAGGAGGTGTGCCGTGGTGGGCAACGGCCACCGGCTCCGCAACAGCTCCATGGGGGACACCATCAACACCTACGACGTGGTGATCAGGTACAGCCCCGGCCCCCGCTCCCTGCCCAGTGCCACCGCAGCGGGGGCTGACACCTGTGATGTCCCAAAGGCTGAACAACGCCCCGGTGCATGGTTATGAGCAGGACGTGGGCTCCAAGACCACCATGCGCCTCTTCTACCCTGAGTCAGCCCACTTCGACCCCCGGACTGAGAACAACCCCGACACGCTGCTGGTGCTCGTGCCCTTCAAGCCCATGGACTTCCAGTGGATGGAGGCCATCCTTAACGACAAGAAGAGGGTAAGTGTGGTGGGGAACCAGGTCCAACCCCTCCCTGGCTGCTCAAGACTCCAGCTGTCATGCCACCCCACCCTTGGGGACATCTGGGCTCTTGCAGGTTCGCAAAGGGTTTTGGAAACAGCCCCCACTGATCTGGGACGCCAACCCGGAGCAAGTGCGCGTCCTCAATCCCTACTACATGGAAGTAACTGCTGCTAAACTGCTCAACCTCCCCATGAAGCAACCACGGAAGGTCAAACAGGTAAGGGGTGGGGATGGCCAGTCACCCTGCACACCCTGAGGGGGGTCAGGCTGTCCCTGTGCAGCTCCCTGAAGGCTGTGGCTCTGTGTCCCTCAGAAGCCCACCACGGGGCTGCTGGCCATCACCTTGGCACTGCACTTCTGTGACGTGGTGCACATCGCGGGCTTTGGCTACCCCGATTCGGCCAACAAGAAGCAAACCATCCACTACTACGAGCAGATCACACTCAAGTCCATGGCCGTAAGTGTTTGCCCCACAGTTTTGTTCCTGTTTCCCCTATTTTTCCCCCAGGAGGGGGGATGGCAGCCCAGGAGAGCAGTGCCAGGATGCTGAATGGTGTGGGAGGCTCTTCCCTCTCACTCCCCTCCCATGATGAAGGTTGAAGTCCACCTTTGGATGGTCATCATCCAACTTCCCTTGGCAGCCAAATGTCCTTGGAGGCATGGAGAGTTGGATCCATTCCGAGTTGATGTGTGAGGAGAAGAGCTCATGGACCGGGGGATTGGGTGGGGAGGGTTCTGTCCTTGCTTTTGGGGGGCTGAAGTCCGTGCTGGTGGGGTGGGCAAGGTGGAGGGTGGGGAGGACTGGAAGGAAAATTTGTGGCCCAGACTCTGGTGTCACCCCTGCTCCCTGTCCTGCAGGCATCGGAGCACAACGTGTCACACGAGGCCGTGGCCATCAAGAGGATGCTGGAGCTGGGACTCGTCAGGAACCTCACCTATTTCTGAGGGTGGCAGGGCAGCGCAGGGACACCGTCCCCAGGGCGAGGGGACACCGTGCCCAGGACAAGGAGACACCGTCCCCTGCAGCGAGGGGACACTGCTGGCACGGCTAGAGTGACCGAGGGCACAGCATTGTTGTCACTGCTGCCACCATGGCCTGGGACTCCTGGAGCAGGGCTGGGGCTGGGCCCGTGCTGGACCGCGGGTGCCCGGGGTGCTGGGGCGGCTCTCGGGGTGCAGGGAGCCCGGCCGGGCCGTGGCCCTGAGCCTTTTCTACTGAAGCACTGAAGCTACCAAGGACTTGAGGGGGTTTTTGGGGTAGGGGGGTCCTCCCTCCCAGCGGGCCTGAGGGGGTGAGCCAGGGCAGGAGCCCTTGCCCTGGACATTCTCTTTCCCTTAATTCCCTCATACACTGACGAGGGCCCTGCTGAGGGGCTGATTTTGGGGTCCTGGCCCCTCCCTGCCCAGGGAATGGGAGCCTTTGGAGGTTCATGTTGCCTCCTCCCTGCCCTGGACCTCCCCCCAAATATTTAATTCCCTCCCTTTTTTTTAATTTCCTTTTTTACTTGGTGGTCCTGTCCTGTGCCTTAGCGCTGGCGTAGGGACTCGTCCCCACAGCCCCCCTGGGTGGGGGCACCCTGGGCTGCTTGGCTTCGGGGTCTGCCAGGGCCCTTTGGTGGTGCAGATTAATTTAATTAATTTAAATGCTTATTTATGGTGGAGCCTTCCCCCAGGGCCTGCATGCCACTGGTGTCAGGGACAAGGGCCCTTGGGTGGGCTGGTGTGTGCTTGGCTCCAGGGTGGGCATTTGGGATGTCTCCCACCATGGAGGGGTTGACCTGGTGCCTTCTCCCTGCTGGTGTAGGGTCCCCTCTGCCCCCGTGGGGCTGCAGGTGTTGGGGGGACCCATGGATGGGGGTGTTTGGGCTCATGTTGGCACCCAATAAAGTCCTGGTGAGGCTGGGATGGGCTGGGTGCTCCTGGTGCAAGGTGGGGAGGGGGTGTGAGGGAGTTTTGGGGCTGTGAGATGCAGGGAGGGTGGCCTGTCCCCATGTCATTGTGTCCCCTTACCTGTTTGTGATGCCCCATCTCCTGGCTCCCACGCTGGGCTTGTGGGGTCCCAGCTGCCCCGTGCCTCAGTTTCCCTCCACCACCGGCCATTTCTGCCCCCATGGGCCAATGGCAGAGCCAGGCTCCAGGCCAGGAGTGTGCCGGGGCAGAGTGCCAGGGAAGCCGTGTCCCCGCGGGGCGGCCATCAGCCCAGGCGTGCCACGAGAAACACCTCTTGTATTGACCGCGGTGCCGCGATACAGCGGAGAGGCCCTTCCCGGGGAGTCCCTGTCCCACCGCCGTCCCCATGGCGGGACCCCCCGACCCCCCGACACGGACTCTATAAGTATGGACACCGAACACCACGAAGGGAAGGGAGGAGCCGGGGCAGGGGGCAGCGGCAAGCGGAGGCGAGCGGCTGTGGGGGCGCGGGGGGCGCGCTGGGGCCAGGGCCGTCCCCAGCCCCGCCGAGGGAGCGGCTCCCCGGGCTCAGCGCGTCCTCGGCGGGGTTGTGCTTAGCGTGTGCCAGGGAGGGGGATGCTCGGCCGGTCCCCTGCCCCAGCCCTGCTCCGGGGGCCTGGATCCGGCCGCTCCCAGCGCCGCTGCCGGCGGTGCCGCTGTCCGAGCAGAGCACGGTGCCCACGGGAGGGTCCCGAGCGTCCCGAGGGGCTCAAACGTGCGTCTGCATCCGCCTCTGCAGGGGCCGGCTGGGGTCTGAGTTTTGGGAAGACGACTGGGAGTGGTGGGAGGAGGACGCGGAGGCCTTGCTGGCCTTGTCGAACTGCACGTAGCCGTCCTGCTTGCCGCTGCTGCTGATGCTGCTGTCGCACTGGGTGTCGAGGAAGGAGCTGCTGTCGCTCATGGAGCCGCGCTGGAACTCGCGCTCGCACAGCTCGATGGAGCTGCTGCCCATGCCCAGCACGAAGCGCTGGCTGTAGTCGTAGAGGCGGCTCTGCCCGCTCAGGGTGCTGTAGATGTTGGTGAAGGACATGCCCGTGGGCACCCGCTGCTTGCCCGCCGGGCGCAGGTCGGCGGGGCAGCCCGACAGCGAGATGGTGGGCGTGGAGTGGTGCTCCTTGAAGGTGTTCACGCTGTAGTAGCCGTTGGTGGGGTCCTGGGGAGTGGGAGAAGCGGGGCAGGTTGGTGGGGGCCTCTCTGGGTACCCCCCTGGGCATTTGGGGTGCCCACCCTGCCCATGCACCCGGGACATGCGAGATTTATCAGAGCCATGGAATATGCTGAGCTGGAAGAGACCCACCAGGATCATCCAGCCTAACTCCTGGCTCTGCACAAGACCCCCAGTAATCCCACCCACTCTCTGTGCCTCCTGGAGCTCTGGCAGCCTCAGGGCTGTGCCCATTCCCTGGGGAGCCTGGGCAGTGCCCAGCACCCTCTGGGGGAAGAACCTTCCCTGATATCCAACCTAACCCTCCCCTGGTACAGCTCCAGCTGTTCCTTCAGGTCCTGTTGCTGTCACAGAGAGCAGAGGTTAGAGCTGTCCCTCAGGAAGAGGCTGCAGACCCTGATGAGTCTCCCCTTGGTCTCCTCTAGGCTGAACAAGCCAAGTCACCTCAGTGACTCCTTGTATGAACCCTCCAGACCCTTCCCCATTTTCATAGCCTCCCTTTGGAGGACACCTCAACCACCAAACCATCCAGCAACATCCTCTTGTGCCACCAGTAAATTCCAATCTGCTTAGCCTCCTTCAGTTGGGGACACAAGTGCTCCTGCATGCCGCTGTCCTGGCACCACACCTTCGTGTTAGCCCTAAAAGCTGCTGGGGCCACAAAGCAGTGGCAGCATGCGAGAGCCTCTCTCCCTGCACAGGGACAGCCCTCTGGGACAGGCCACCACCGGGGACAAGGACAGGCAGCGTGGCAGCAGCAGTGCTGGGTGAGGCTCTGCCCGGTGCTGGGCACGGGGAGGGTCCCCAGCACCCCGGGTGCAGCCCCTCTGCCAGCAGTGACGGGGGGCTCTGAGCCCAGGGACACAGGCAGGCCGCAGGATCCAACCCACCTTCAGGTTTTGGAACTCCTTCTCCTCCTCCTTGAGCACCTCGAGCTGCTTCAGCACCGAGTCCTGCTGGAACTCGCCGCGGTCCATCTGGGAAAGGAGGCAGGGTCAGCATCCAGACCGCCCGCTCCCCATCACCCCCAGGCCATGGGGCAGCCCCACATCCATCACCAGCCCCTGGGCACTGGGAAATTGTCACCGGCCGGCTTCAAGGACGTGCCCAGGGGTGCCCCAGTGGTGTCCGAGGGCAGACGCCCAAAAACCACACAATTCCCTGGGTTACAGATTGTTTTTCCATGTTTAGGACAGAAAAAGGCAGGCTGATGCAGAAAACGAATTATTTACCGAGATGAGGGCTGAGGCTGCACCCGCCTGCCCAAAGCAACACCCCCAAAATCGTCTGGGTTTTTTTGGTGGGTTTTTTTTTTTCCCTTCTTTTTATCCTTTCCTCCTCAGCTGAACTTGGCCGCCTCATTAGTTTTCCTTTGAAGGCTGGCTGTGATCGGGGGGAGGCGGAGAGGAGGGGCAAGGTGCACATTAATTACACCACAGCTTTAATTACCCTTCCTTCAGCACGCGGGGCTGTGCAGGAAGCGGGATAATTATCAACCGATTCCTCAGTTGCCTTTTTTTAGCTTCTCCCGTATCCACCCGACGCCTCCAGCCCGGCTTCTCTGGGATCACAGCCCCACATCAGCCCCAAAATCCCCTTTTATTGCCCAAATTCGCTCCTCTTTAAGATGGTAAGTGGCTGTGGAAATTCACCCCGCGGCACTTGCTGTTCATCTCCCGAAAGCCTTTGATGTGGCTGTTAAAGGCAATAAATTAAAGTACCTGGGTTTTCCTAGGGAAAAGAAAGCCTGTATCAGCCATTGATTTACCAGGATAAATACACGTGTCGCCGAGGATTAAACGAATGCAGCTAAAATGGGACATGGAGGGTTTTTTTTTGCTCTGCCAACCCCGGCGACCCCCTCGATCCTCTAAAGCATCTCTGCAAAGGCAGACTGGGGATGTTAACCCTATCGGAAGGGTTTAACAGGTTGGAATGAAAAGGAAATAAAACCACTTCTCCTTGGATTTAGGTTTTTTTGGTTTTTTTTTTTTGTGTTGGCGTGGATAACACAGGGCCAGATCCAGAGATGGAGAGGGCAGAAGGGAGGTGGGAACCAAAGGAACAATCCCACTGTGACCAAACCTCCCTGGAATTAATGATGTCGGGTTTGATGGGGTGTTTGAAGGCATTTTATTTAAGCCATTTATTTTATTGAAGTGATGGTAGGAATGATCCAGGTACTGGGATGCTCCGTGGGGACTCTGCCTGTCCCCTGTCCCCTCTGAATTTGACTGCACCCCGTGGATTTGGGGACTGCAGGGAGTCTCCACATGAGGTCCACAAAGAGCCACCACATCACCGAACCTCCATCTCCCCCATTACAGCCGGTCATTAACATCTTTAATGAAGTTTTACACCGTTAATTAGTGGGCGGTGGGATCCTCGTTAGTGTGATTTCCTCTTTGTCATCACTGAGTCAACACCAGGAAGGGACCGACCTTAACTCAAGTTCACTCCATCACCTATATTAACAGGGATTATGAAGGGGGAGAGGGAAACAGATGGAAAAAGAGACCAGAGATGTCTGAGAGCCCTGGCATGGGATGCCCCAGTGTCATTCCTGGTCGTTTTTCCAGATCCATCCTTTCTTCAGCCAGGTGACAGCACCAATATGCTCTGGGCCTGGCCATGACAATGGCTGGGGGTACACCCGGCTGTGAGTGCCACCATTCCCCTGCCAGGCACCAGCAGCCCTCCCTGCCCCAGAACAGCGGGCACCACAAAGCCCTGCCCGTGTCGGAACCCTCTGGTGCTCCTGGGTCAGCAGGGATGTGACAAACTGCACCCCTGACTGTCGCTGCCTCAGTTTCCCCCACTGCAGAAGGCAGGGACCCCCTCCAGGTCCTGAAGCACCCCCTCTGTACCCCAAAGTACAGAGATAAACAGATTTGAGGAAGATTTCAAACCACAATTTTCAAGCCTGAAGATCTCCTGTTGGCAGAGTTCATGGAGGGAAGCATAAAGAGAGGCTCAGAGCAGGACAGGCTGACAGTATGTAGCATGTTCTAGCAAATACACACCCAGCAAGGCAAAATGCAGCTGACAATAACTGCACTTGGGGGAAAAACTGAGCCCTTGCATGAACAGATGAAATAATTGTGAGTGCAGTTTCCGTGGATCAGTGCTCACAGCAACAGGGAGCTCCAGGCTGGCAGTGAGTGGTAACATTTTGTGTTTGCAGCCTATGGGATTAATTTTCAGGGGAGATCTCCTGACCTTCAGATGGGCATGCCGTTTGACCCAAGAAGTCTCCTAAACCCCACAGTGTTAACTTTTATTCAAAATGCTCTCCACTCCAGCTCATGGCTGGGGATTTTGGACTCTTCAAAGGATTCCTGTAATCAGTGAGTGACAGGGAAACTGTTCCTTCGTGACCTTAGGTCCCCATTGACTGTGAAAGATAACTTCAACTGGCAGTGCTGGCTCCCCCTGCCCAGTGTAGTATATGATAGAGATAATTCATACTATTAATGTATAAAATATCGTGAGGTCCAAACTATGTCTTTTGACCACCCCAACCAGGAGCAGTGTCTTCTTCTTATTCATCCAGTTCCCGGATGACGTTAAGACTATATCAGTTTTTTTAACGTAAGAATGGAAACTTCCTGGGTGATCACCCCCGACTGTTCCGGGATACCAGGACCACTCAATTCTCACCTCGAAGATTGTATCTACCACGGTGTTCACCAGGCCAGCCTGTTACATGTGAATACCAACATCTCCAGAGATCTCTGACAACATCTAGACACCTGGATTGGACTTTTGTCCAACTCTGCACATGAATAGACCCAGTTCTGCATGTGAAGGGACACAAAGAACATTCGGTCACAAAGAACTCAGGCAGAATAAACTGTATAAGAGCTCCCTGTGCAAAGCAGCATTTGTGAACAGGGGAGACTCTGACACCGGGGGTCAGATCTCTGTTCACCCAGCGCCGATCCCGGGCTCGACGCTGCCCTTGGCTGTGGTGGTTTTTGCCGATCGAAATTCTGTTTCGCTGACAATTTAGTAAATCACTGCTAAATTTTCTTATAAGTTAGGCTCTCGATTGGATCATTTATAACACCAGGGAGTGCCTCCCTGCCCAGCAAAGCTCGTTCGAGGCTCCCCCAGTGCTGGGAGCAGTGGGCTCTGCAAGTGCGGAGCTCTCCCGCGTTTCACGCCACCAAACGAAGCCTCTGAGACGGAGAATCCCACAGGATATTAAATTCTTGGCTTTCATTAGTGGACACAATATGTTTTTTAAAATGCTCCTTCAGGTTTTCCTGAGTATCCTCCAGACCCAGCGGGCTGGAAGTGCCTCCCCCCGCCTCGCTCTAGGTTTAATTACAATATTTCCGGCTGATTTGGTAATTGGATGCCACCCGGCAGCACTTGTGCGGGCCGGACGTTTCCAGGGTGAGTGAGGGATGTGGATGGCGATTCTCAAACAGAGACTTCCTCTGCTCCCAGGGAGGGAACCAGCCCATGAATAAAGAACCCCTCTGGGAATTCCCAGCTCGATGAAGCTTTATCACCTTCAAACACCGGCTCTGGCCTCGGCCGCCCAGTGATGTTGGTGCCCACCACAGGAGAGGCTGCCCGCCTTGTCCCACCTCTCCCAAAATCCTGCTTTGGGATGGGCTGGTGTCACTGGAAGGGGCCGGCTGTGAGGGAGGGATGCTCCCCAGCCTCCTGGGCGAGGCTGGGGGTTGTGGAGATGCTGCTCTCTGCAGTTCAGACCCGCTCTGACCGCTCAGGGCTGCCCGTGCTTCCCGGGGTGGGCACGGGGGAAGGCACAGAAAGGGGCAGAGAAAGGGATGCTGTGTCCTCTGGGCTGCAGGTAGGAAGGAAAATCACCCAGAATGGAAATTCTGCTCCTTTGTTTTTTCCTCTTTCACCTGTCTGGAAAAGGCGTCTGGTGCTGATCACCTGTGAAGGCTGTGAACAAACTGGGAACAACCCTTGGAGGAGAGGGATGGGTTAAAGGAGACAAGAAAAGTTAACCTATCACTGGATTGATTGTTTTGACTGTTCCCCTCCAAATATGAACCACAGGTGATGCCTGGATCTGCCTGGCCACAGTGGGGCATGAATGATCCAGAGATGGGGATCTCTGTGATTCCCTTGCCTCCCTGACACTTTGGGATCGTCTCTCACTGCACATGGCAGTGGGGATGGCTCCTTTGGGATTATCGGCCCCATTTCACAGGTGGGGAGCAACGGGCTCCGATCAGCCGGGAATAAACCCATCCGTGCTAAGGGAGGAGGAGGCTGTGCCACGCCGGGGCCGACCATACTCATCATCTTCCTCCTCACAGCTGCTGTGCCCGTGCAATGCGTCCCGCAGGAGGGAGAATGCTTTTGTTGCGGTTTATTTTCCAGGATCAAACCCTTTACCAGGATCCTTTGCCTGCAGCCACTGGAGCTGGCAGCCTTTTCCCTGCCCGCGGGCACCGCCTGGCAGAACAGCTCTCGGAGCAGGGGTGGGAACGCCGCCGAGGCAATGTGAACATATGCAAATCAGCCAGCGTGACGCGGATCCTAAGGTGTTAATGAGTTTATAGATGCATGAATAATTACTTGTGAAAAGCACGGTGAGCTGCCGAGGTCACGGATGGCTGGAGAACGACAAAACAGCGTTTGTGGGGCCGGAGAATCCCGCTGGCACCCCGCGGGACACGGGGGACCGAGCACAAAGGCACAAACGCGGCGCTGAGGAGCCTGAAATGCAGCAGGAGCAGCTCAGGCTGTGCTGGAGTCAGGGGCTGGGATGGGGTTGGGATGGAGAGCAGCGAGGAGCTGTTTGCCAGCGTGGCTGCTTCTCGTTAACATCCCCGTTAATGATCCCGAGCCCGGGTGTGGCACTGACACTCACAGCTGATACTGAACTGAGGGGTGTAATGAACACCCTGAGGGCGAGATCATCTCGAGGGATGGAGATCCCACAGAACGCTCGCAGAAGGCAAATGGGGAAGCAGAGGGAATAATGCTGTAATAATGGGAGGAGGGAGAGCTGGAAAATCGCGGGGTGAGAGGAGGGAGGTGCTGGGCACTGCCCTTCTCCTGCTGAAGAGGTCTCATTGCTCCCCATCAGCAAGGGGAAGTTTTTAACTTGATCCTTCATTTCATTGACAAAGTTGGGATGTTTTATCAGGAACTGTTTGGCATCCAAGGCCGGAGGAGGATGCCCACAGCAGCTGTTGGACACAGCAAGGATGGGGATGAAGGACAGAGGGGAGGGTCAGTCTCTGCAGACTCTGTGGAGAGAAGGAATTGGGGAGTATTTCCTGGGAACGTGCTTGCTGAGGGCAGATGAGGGTGGGGAGGCTCTGATCCAGGCAGGGGAGGGGGTTTGATGCCTTCTCCCTGCAGGTAGGATGTCCCAGCTGTCCCAAACCCTGCCAGCACCAGGGTCAGAGATCATGGACCATCTCTTGCAGCTCCTGAACGGCACTGATCCAATGATGTCATTTCCAACTGCTGTATTTTCAGGAAAAATGCCTGGATTTGGCCAGGAAAGGGGAAGAATTGCCCTCCTCCAGTCCAGCCAGGCTGTGAGTCTCTGTTGTGTCACATCTGAAAGTGCTCAGCTTTAGGTGTGAACCCTGCTCACACTTACACAGTTCCATTGTGCCGTGACCAAACCACCTCTCACCAGTCTGGCTGATTAATCAGAAGAGCTCCACAACCTCTCCCTGCAAGGCATTTTTTTCCCAGCTCTCAAACAAATATTGTCATTTTTTCTGCACCATTTCCACCCTGCCTGAATCCTCATTGCAATGTGCCCAGCACAGCTCTGCTCCCAGCCTCAACAAGGCACAAGCTGATGTGAAATCACCCCCTGGCTCCTGCACATAACCTAAGAAAACCCCCAGGATGGCTTCCAAGATGCTGTGCTCGAGCTCCCACCACCATCCTCTTTCTTGTTCACTCAGAGTGTAAATGTTCTCTTCTGCAGAGGCCTCGTGTGTGTCTCCAGTTA